AGCATGCTGTCCCAGAGGCAGGCCACATCTTGGAAGTGCATCTAGGATTTGTGTATTACGATGTTCACTGATAGAGGCAAATGCTGGGAGACAGGTATTTCTGCCTGGCCAAGGTTGCCAGTCTCACTGTCTAGGGGAGACTGAAAAACTCTCCTTAATGCCTTTAGATCAGACGCTGGAGAATGAAGTACATGGGCTTAAAGAAAGCTGGGTTTTGGGCAGTGCCTGTGGCCCAGTGGGTAGGGTGCCGGCCCCATATACAGAGGGTGGTGGGTTCAAACCCCACCCCAGCCAAATTGTAACAAAAAAATAGCTGGGCATTGTGGTGGGCACCTGTAGTCCCAGCTACTTTGGAGGCTGAGGCAAGAGAATCGCCTGAGCCCAGAAGGTGGAAGTTGCTGTGAGCTGTGTGATGCCACGGCACTCTACCAACAGCAATAGAGTGAGACTCTGTCTCTAAAAAAAAAAAGGTTTTTCTCGAACGCCAAATATTCAGTGTCTTTTTCTAATTGTGATTTTCTTGATGGAAAGTGGAAATACAGACTCGATATGACCCAGTAGCAAGGACACAGATACAGCTTTAGCAGCCTGTGAATTTTTTGTGTCCTCACCATTAGTCAGTGTCACACTGCTCCAGGATGTGCTTCATGGACAAAGGTTCTCGGTGCTGTTAGACACTGTCTGCATGACTTTACAGAGAGACATAGGGGAACGGGGAACACAGATTATCTGGGGGTCTGACTCTACCATGGGTGCACCTGTGCTTTAGGCCAGGGTCTTGGTTCTGGCCCTGCTGCACTCTGGGACCCATTCGGACGGCTCTGGTGTGCCTGATCCTGTGAGTACTGATGGCTGCGTAATCAGTGGAGGTCATGGAGCCCACACTTCCCTGCTGTCCACTCATCCGTTCCAGCAGCACTGGCCTCTTTGCTGTCACACAGATACTCCAGGCACACGCTCATTGTGGGGCCTCTGCACTGGCTGTCCTCTCTCCTCAGGATCCTCCTGCCCAGATGGCTGTGTGATTTGCTCTCCAGGTCTCCAGTGAAATGTCACCTCATGGTGACACCTGCTGTCTTTACAGTTGGGCTCCCCGCCACTCCCTGAGCCTGCTTTCCTGCCTTCTCTTTCTTCGTAGCAAAGCTTCCCAGCTCCCTGTGTATATTTTACTGACTTATTTTGTTATTGTCCCCCTTTCCTCATTAGAGTGTGAGCTTCACAGGTCAGGACATTTGGTCTGTTTCGCCAGGAGTTAGAATAGTTCATATCCCATAGTAGGTACTCAGTAAATACTTACTACATACACACATGGACTGTTCTCCTGTGTAACAGTGTCTAACTTGTTCTATCAATAAAAAGCGCTAATCATTGGGGAAACTGGCATTTGACAGGGGCTCTACACCAAAAAAGACCTATGGCTCACTCTAACCAAATTACTGTTTTAGAAATGGGATCTGGAACAACTAGATCTTTCTTTGCTTAGAAAATTTTTAATAGTAGAAACTGATACTAGAAAATTAAAAGCATTTTGAAATTACTATTCTAGAAGAGGGCCTGAATAGTGAAATTCCTAAGTCAATAAGGCTTCTCAGACGCTAGTGGGAAGGTTCCAGACTGATTCCAGATGAACCACGGGCTGGGAGGGGCAGCTGGCAGTGTCTGGGATCCCTAATGACCACCACTTTCCACTGCAGGCCCTGCCGAATGGAGCCCCGACTTCCTCCAAGCCCACCTCTCCTGCCCTCATTGAGACCAAGGAGCCCAATGGGAG